GGCAGTAAATAACAAGGGTCGGATTGAATAATCGACCTCTGAAGAAACACTAGTATTAGCCTATAACTCCGACTCTCAAATATAGCACAAAATCCTTTCACTCCAACTTTTTGTCTTGCCTTTTGTTTTTAAAAAACAGTTTGATTTTTTGTGGGGCCTAGAGATTGCATTGATCTGCTTCCCGAATGGTTAAAGAAAAAGTGAGGACTTCAGTTGACATGACATGATGTTTGAGGGTCCGTCCCAGTTGAAACAGATGAACAAAAATTAAAAGGACCACAAAGCCCTTTATAGAACTTCTTGACGGCCCTGTCTCTGGTCCCTGTCTCTGCTGTCACTCAGTCTTGTGGCATGGACTCCCAAAAGCAAGGAGAAGTGTTACCAATGTGTGTGAACTCAAGGCAAGAGTCACATTCGGAATCCCTTTCCAACTTCCATTTCTTTGTGGGAATTCTGTCACCATATACGCCTCAGCTTAGACTGCTTAGGTCTTGTAAAACCATGTGGGGACCAGTAGCAAGCAAGAGGAGACAGACTGAAGAGCTAGAATGGAGCTATGAAGGCAGCTGTGGGATTGTGGATCCTGAAGCCCTGGAGGACCTTAATGCTAAATTCTGCTTAATATTTATTTTTTTCTTCTTTGTATTTTCTGTTGATTCAGTGAAGAGTGTACCAATCTCTCCTAAGTGCCACAAGAAATATGTGTAACCCAAAGTTGATTTCCCTCTAGAGTTGCTATGCATTCTATTTGTCTTTTTTGCTACTTCTGATTTATTTTAAAATTCTAAGGTGTCAGCTTCAGCTTCACAACTTTCTTCTAATGAAATATGTATTCACATAACACCATGGTTAGTATTTTTCACAAATCATTTTTCACAAATCTCATATTTTAAAAAAAGATGTTGGATTAGGGGATATTAAATAAGGAATAAAAATTTTACAATAGTTTTGTTCGTTATTATTTTGCCTTTTCTTTCCCATTTCAGACTTTTATAGTTAATGAGTTTTATCCTCAAGTTTTCGACTGTTGACTTTTATGACTTTGGTCACATCAAATGCACATCTGTAAATATCAAAGAAAAGGACCTGCCAATGAAAGATATATTTTGGTATTGATATTTAAGAGTTGACACCAGTTTTCTCTCTTCCTATGCTTTATTTAGATTCCGACACAGCCCCAACTGCTGGTACCTGAGAGACTGGACTATCCACACCTGGATTAGGCAGTGTCTAAAATATGGTGCACAAGACAAAGCCTTATATACCCTTGTAAATAAGGTGAGTGCTTTCCTGGCATTTGCAGCTTGTTCTTCTGATTTTAGATGATATGGGGTTTGAACCTATTACAGTACAGCAAATATGGTATAAGAAATAACTTCTAAAAATTATTTACCCTCAGATATCCTTTTTAGAATGGAGCTGGATATAAATTAATCAACACATTAAAAAAGAAAACTTCCTGGAGCTGCTGCTTTTCCAAGCATAGTGACTTAGTCAGCTAAAAGCAAAGGTAGTCTAATCACAAGAACTCTGCACTGGTGGTCCTTTCATTCTTGATCTGTAAGCCTTGGATTGTTTGTCTGATTTCCTTTGGTGAATTTTAGGGAAAAAGACAAGACCATTTTGCTGGATTGTGCTCTTCATAGTATGCAGGCTATCTTACAAAGACGGTATTCCTAGGTTACTCAAAACATGTCTTCTGAATTCCCTGACTCCTCCCCTCGAGCAATAAAGTACAAAATAAGCAAAAGTTTAGAATGTTATTATTATGAGTCTCAAGCTACAACACTATTTTGACCCATAAAAAGACTTTAACAATATATTTATGAAAATGCATTATTTCTGTAGTGTCACTGGATCTCATATGATAAAACTCAAAAGGAAATAATTTCATTTTGGGGACTTTTCGCTCCCATGACTTGGGCCCAGTTTAACTTAATATACATTGCAGACAGTTTGTGTGTGAGAGACATTGCATTGTGTATGGCATTATCTATAAAAATGAGCAATATCCTGTCAGGAAACTTATATTTAATAAAGCAGATAAGCAAGTTCACAGATAAATCTAATATGAGGCCCCAGGGGAAGGAATAGAGTAAATCCTGCTCTCATCAGTTCAGAGTTTAATGACACAGATTACACTCAAAAAAGAAGATTCTTTGAAAACAAAGCAAGGAGAGTCTAGAAAGGCAGAATAGTCTGTCTCATTTTCTGCTGCTCCTAGTCTTTTAGTAGAAAGAACACTGGACAAGAAGTCAGAAGACCCGGCCTATAATCTCTTAAATTCCACCAACTGCCTGCAACTTCAGGCAAATAATTCATCCTTCTAGGTCTTAGTTTTTTCAACTCTAAATCAAGTTAGTTGTACTAAGTCAGTGATTCCCAATCCTGGCTTCCCAGCAGAATCACACAAGAAGCTTTTAAAATTTATAGTTGCTTTCTCTACCCCTAAGACTCTAATTTAATGGATCTTCTTGGATCCCAGGCATTGGTATTTTTTTTAATTGGTTTAAAAAAAAATTTTTTTTAAGTAGACTTTATTTTCTAGAGCAGTTTTAGGATCACAGCAAAATTGAGAAGGTACAGAGATTTCCCATATGCTCCCTGTCCCCACCTATGCACAGCCTCCCCCATTATCAAGATCCACTGCAGAACGGTACATTTGTTGCAATTGAAGAACCAACAATGACCAACATAATCACCCAAAATCCATTCTTTACAGTAAGGTTCATTCTTGGTGTTGTATAGTCTCTGGGTTTGGACAAATGCATAATGACATATATGTACTATTATGGTATCATATAGTGTAGTTTTACTGTGTTTAAAATCTTCTGTGCTCTGCCTATTCATCTCTCATTGGTATCTTTTTAAAGCTCCCAAGTTCATTCTAATTTGCAGCCGGGGTTGAAAATCACTGACCAGTTGATTTCTAAAGCTCCTACCAGCTTTAATGATTTATCATTCTAAAATATTTTGTTTTTACCATGCCTCTAGGGACTAATGCTGATTTAAATGACTGTTTTGAGAAATATAGACTCTGCCCATGAGCTCCAGCCTTTCAAACAACAGCTTCTAAACATTTGTTTCCATTTCAGCATACCTGAGCCATCCCATAGAGTAACAGTGACTCAACTCAGCAGTGATTCACATGGATGGTTAGGCACATCAGAATCTCCTAAGGGGATGGGTATAGTTTGAAAAAATTCCTCAGGTGTTTCTAGTGCTTAGTGGGGGAAGAATGGGACAATGTAGGGGATAGGAGCGAATCCCACTGAAGTAAGAATTTAAAACAAAAAAATATATATATAACCACAATTTAGATCATTAGTAGTCAAACTTGACTGTGCATGAAAGCCACGTAGGATGTCCACTAAAACTTCAAGTTTTTGTGCCCCATTCTCAGAGATTCTGATTCTATAAGTCTGAGGCTTAAGACTCTACATTGTTAAAAACACTCCTAGAACATTCTGAGGCAGATGCTAAGGGATCCACATCTCGAGAAAACAGGATTCTCAACTATTCAGCTGTTTTGAACAGAACATTCTAGGAGCTTGATTAGTAATATTTTGTTGACATATTTCTTGGGTCTTTAAAAACCAGTCTAAGGAACAAGAGATAAAGAGTGATGTCAAGGATGTGGTAAAAAAGGAAATACTTGTCTTCTATTGGTGGGAATGTAAATTAGTGCAGTTACTATGGGAAACAGTATGAGGATTCCTCAAGTAATTAAAAATAGAACTGTCATGATCCAGCAATCCCACTTCTCGGTACATATCCTAAGAAAATGAAATCACTATATCAGAGAGATATCTGCACACCCCATGTTCATTGCGGCATTATTCACAATAGCTAAGACATGGAAACAACTTGTCTATTGTTGAATGAACGATAAAGAAAATGTGGTAATAAGTATATACAATGGAATACCATTCGACTATAAAAAAGGAGATCCTGCCATTTGTGACAACTTGGATGAAACTTAGGGCATTATGATAAGGGAAATAAGTCAATCAGAAAAACAAATACCCTACGATCTCACTTATATGTGGAATCTAAAAAAGCCAAACTCATAGAAACAGTGTAGAATGGTGGATGCCAGGGGTTGAGAGAAATGGGGAAATGTTGATCAAAGGATACAGACTTCCAGTTATAAGATGGATAAGTTCTGAGGATCTAATGTACAGTTTGGTGACAGCAGTTAACAATATTGTATTGTATTCTTGAGAGTTGCTGAGAAAATAGGTCTTAAAAGTTCTTATCACCACCACCACCACAGCAAAATGGTAATTATGTGAGGTGATAGGTATGTTAACTAACCTTACTGTAGTAATCATTTCTCAATCTAATGTATATTAACTCATCATGACGTACACCTTAAACTTACACAGCATTATATGCCAGTTATATTTCAGTAAAATTGGGGGCAAAAATAGTCTTAAGGACTAGAAAATGCTACATCATGTGATAACGTGTTCTTTCCCATAGATATCCATTTTTTGCATTGATATTTATACCTTATAAAAAGAACCTCTGAACCAGTAGATATGTGGGGGATTTTGGTTTGGTGTGGTTTGTTTGGTTTTTGTTTTTGTTTTTGTTTTTTAAACTGTGATGAGGTGTTATAATTTTTATTTTTCACGTATCAATGGTCTTACATCAGACACCCCCTCACAACTTTCTCACCCTGATTACCAAACCTCATCAGTCATAGCTTCTATTTCACTGTCACAGATGCTGTAAAACGATAGTCAAATATTTTAAAGCTAATGGTGGCAAGTTTTGTCCTGAATAATACATAGGCATATGTAATAAGTTGAGTTAAAATGGGTATTTTTTCTTATTTTCCTTTTATTTTCACTTTCATTACAGGTTCAATATGGAATTTTTCCAGATAACTTTACATTCAATTTACTGATGGATTATTTCATAAAGAAGGAAAATTACAAAGGTAAGAAACCAAACCCAGGTTCGTTTATACTGAGGCTTCAGCTCCCAAAGGAAGTAGATGTAGTCACTTTTCTTTTTTATTTCGTAATGATATCTCTTTACATCACTCTTTTAGTCAGGAATAGATTCGTAGTTGGTTTATACCATGCCACTTAGCCAGATAGGAAAATCATATCCAGATTTCTTTTACTCTGAGTTTCTCAAGTTTCTTTGTTCATATCTCTTTAAGCAAAGAACGATGAATTTAATTAAGGAATAAACCCTGCCTGAACTTCCATGGCTACTTAAGATTATAGTAATGCTGTTATTAGTTTGCCTTTTTTTCTCTCTCCATTTGTCAACTTTGTTTTATTTAAATTACAGTTGTTGTATTATGTAAAATGTAAAACTATAAAATCAATTGACTTTTCCTGGAAAAACGGTGCATTTGTTATGAAGGAAAGTCATTTCCCCTCCCTAAGCTTTTGTTTCCTCTTCTGTAACATAAATGGATCGGTGATCTCTGAGATCTCTTTACCCCCAAATTCTCTGATCCTGTGAAATTAATTTAAAGTGGCTCTTCAGCTGCAGTAAGGGAGGCCAAGAAAAGATGGGTATTGCAGCAGACTGCAGAGCAGTCAGGTGGGACCCTGCCAGTCTCCAGTGGATGGGGAATTCTAGTACAGTGTGCTTGTTCTCATAGCTATGCAGACAGTGAAGGAGAGAGGAGGCCTTGCCGTAGTGTAGACACACACTGGCTTTCCCTTTCCTCCATTTCATCCAGGTCTAGTACTGAGGAGCAGTGAGGGAGCCATTCCTGTGTTAATGTAGTTACTACCTCAGGAACATGGATGTGGGCTTGTGGTCACTTCTGCATTTATGTCATCTGCAATCTTGTCTTTGGTTCCATCCCCTTATCCCTGAACACCAGCACCCTTGGCCTTTTCCGTCGCATCAGTACTCAGTGATTAGGCTCGGGATTGGGCATTTGTGCCCTTAGTGTGGGCTCCTCTCTCTTTCTCTCCTCTGGATCTCTGCTCTGTCTTCTCTCTCATGAGACTCGCAGTTGCCCACTACCAGAGGGTATTCGCTGCATATTTTGAAATGTTAATTATCCCTTGTTAATTATCCCTTGTCCATTTCTTACTCAGTTTTAAGCATGCGTTTCCTGAATTCAACTAAAAAATAATTGGCTTTTACATAATCTAATTTTCATAATCTAGTCTCTGAACATCAGATTTAAGAATCTATATTACCGTATTGCTGGAAAATTATATAGGAGCAGTTTTCTCCCTTCACTTTCTTTAAAAGGTATGTTGGGAGGATTGAGGGAGGGTTTTTTTTTGTTTTTTGTTTTTTATTTTTTGCTAAATACAGAATAAATAATATTGAGGATTTTTAAAAATAAAATTTTGATAAAGACATTTATGGCAAAAACAAAATAATATACTTATTATTAGGATAGGAAATATCAAAGTATGTAAATGATTATGAAAGAAAAGTAAATTAATTATCCACTCCAATCTAATTTTACTTCCCAAGCTGACTGAAATGTAGAATATAAATAAAAGATAAAATCGGTTTGATTTATTTTTCATGTGTGAATAATTGTTAAAACTAAGTTAAAACTAAACAATTATTAAAACTAAACAATTGTTAAAACTAAATCTAGTTTTTTTTAAACTAGATTTTTAGATTTAATTGTGTTCTTTTAAAATATCGGTTTGTTTGTTTTTTTTAAATCTGTTCCAGATCCTTATTTTGCTCCTGAGTGACTAGATGACTTACTGGTCTGCCTGTCCATCTCACTTTCCCCATTTGTGGAAAGAATATAGAAATTCTTGCCTGTGGCCTATTTCAGAACCATGACAACATGTACAAAACCAGCTGGCTGGGAACAGCTGCAAATCAGTGCTAACTCTTGTAATTATGAGTGTATGCAAAAATTGGTTAACAGAATAACTCAATCAGTTAGTTAGAAATATTTGTTGTGCCTATTATGTGCAGGCACTGCATTTTAAACTAATATTAACATTCTCTAATTTAACAACAAACATTAAGAGAAGGAAATTGTTTGAACTTGATTTTCATGACTTCTATCTATGTTGTGGAATACCAAGTGAAAATAAACATTGCTCGGGGTCTGATCTACTATGACCTGCGTTCATGTGGAAACAAATGTGTTGTATATTACACTTAGGGGCTGTAATTTATGAATATGCATTTTCCCTTCCCTTCGTTCAAGTCTTTTAAACTGAGCTTGATTGTCCTTTTTATAGTCATCAGTTTTCTGTCTTTGAAGTAATACCTGGGATTTAGGATTGCCTCTAGCATTTGTCTTTTTTTACCCTAAGAGGGAGAAGGTACCAGAACACAAAATGGGGCAGTAAGCCCAACCCCTGCTCTGCTTGTCAGGATGACCTGGAAAATACATTTGCTTCCTTTCTGTATGCCTTCATCTCTTCTAGCTGATGGGCATGAAGCTTTAAATTTGCTTCTCAATTTATGAGGCATTTTCGTATGTATTATCTTGTTGGACTGTCCACCAGTCTTTTGGAATAGTTAAGACAAATGGTATTTTATCATTGTGAAGATGACACTAGGATAAATTAAGTGGTTTATTCAATGTCTTTGAGGACAATGGTGCAATGGAACCTGATTTAATACATACTGATATGTACAATAGAAGCTCAAGGTTTGGGAAACAGCTAGTTTGTGGAAGAACTAAGAACTGATCCTAGTTCTTTACTTCTTAATTCTCTGTTTTTTACTTCTTAATTCTGCTTATTTTTCTATTAGATCCTTGTTTTTCAGAGTGTTTATAGTTAAATGCAGATTTGGTGATGTTACCTGCAGCTAATTTCCCCTTGTTCTTACTTTGATCTTGCCAGATGCTTTGTCTGTGGTTTTTGAGGTCATGAAGCAAGAAGACTTTGAAGTAACTTCCACCCAACTTCTCTCCCTCTATGTTTTATACCATTGCCTGGCAAAGAAGACAGACTTCAGTGTAAGTGATCTACCTTAAACAGTACCGAGAGTCTTAGGAAAAGCAAGTAGTGGCTGCTCAGTAGGGAGGAGGTGGCCAGACGAAACCCTGGCTCGCAGAATCTAGAAAAAGCCATCTGATGTGCAGCCTTGCGGCTGTATACAACCAGGAATGATTGTTCATTCTGCACATTGTAGTTACTGGTTTCTAACAAAGTGGAACTGGATGTTTGTCCACTCAAGAGAATCTCAAGTGAAGTCCTTATGCACATTTTGAAACCTGAGCTAGGCTGAATGTGCCTCATACGGTCAGAAATGGGTAACTGACACTCAGAGCTGGACATGGCATATCAAAAAGCAGCAATGAGCCACCTGACCCTGACTCAGGTATTAAATACCCATTATTTAATTTACAGCAGTATTTCTCTGAGGTTACCCTGAGTCAATCCTGAATACCAAGTTTTAGTTTTAGCCCTTAGGTTAAGTATTTAGTCATTATTCCTTGCTATCCAAAGGATAACAACAGTGATAACAAAACTAATATTTAAACAGCTATTACATTATACCAGGCTGTGTTCTTGGTGTTTTAAACTTATTTATGCTTTTAATCCTCACAACTCTATGCAGATGAGAAGATCGGGGCACAGAAATGTCAGTCGGTAGCATGAAGCCACCTGATAAAACCAGAAAGTCTGTCCTTAACCCATATATAACATCAAAAAAGTCCTACTTTGGGTAGGAACCGAAAAGGTCATCTAGTCCAGCCTGCATTCTAAAGAATTTATGGTGTGTTTTGCTTTTCTAAGTTGAATGTCATAGCCTACAGCATATGCCACATTCATTAGTTGATTAAATATATATTGAGCACCTTTGACATTCCATACATTGCTAGTGCTAGTTATACAATGGTGAGCAAGTATTTCCTGTTTACAATCTAAGAAGTATAGGCATTTAAAAACAACAAAACAAACACACATATAAAATTATGGCTACAATGTGCACTACAAAGATTTCTATAAAAACCCTATATTGTGAAGAATTCTAATTTGTATTTTAAACTCAGATAGGTTAGGAAAGGCTTCCCTAAGGAAATATTTCCTGGGTTAATATTTGAAGATAGAATAGGAAATAACTTGCTGAAGAGGGGAAGAAAGCCAAAAAGAAGAAATAATATGTGCAAAAGCCCTATAGCAGAAAGGACATGATGAGCTGAGAGGGGCTGGGAGAAGATAGGAAGATAATCAATGTAGCTGCAATAGAGAGAATGGCAGGAAGGACATGGGGTGAGACAGGTTTGAAGATAATGTCGGTCACACTAAGCCATATTGTCTTCATCCTAAAAATACTGAGAAGCCATTGAAAAGTTTTAAACAGTCGGGGGTAATATGATCAGATTTGTGTTTTAAAAGATGCCTCTGGCTGTAATGTGCCTAAGAGATTGAAGCATGGCGGGGATGGCTGTTGTCAGAGCACCTAGGAGGTGATTATGGTTGTCTGAGCAGAAGGTAATGGTAGCTTGGGGAGCAGAATGTGGTGGAGGAGTTGAGAGTAGCTGATGGACAAATTTGGGAGGTAAATAACATGATGAGGAACTAGATGTGAAGGCAGGAATGTAGGGGTCAAATTTTATCTCCTCAGTTTCTGGTTTGTGTATCTGGACGGAAGAGTCGCCGTGTGTTTGGAAAGGGAACTCTAGAAAAAGACTGGTTTCTATGATGAAAATCATTAATTTGGCTGTGAATGTGTTACATTTTGACGTATCTTTGAGACCGTCAAGAGATTTCTAAGGGAAATTGGGACCTTAATGGAAAAATCTAGATTGGAGATGTAATTTATACATCCGTATATAAATGTCTGCAAATGAGCCACAGAACAAAAAGGAAAATCGGGAATGTGTGGACCACTAAAACCATGGGAAGAAGAGTGATCTACAATATAGAATGTTTCTGAGTAAGATGAGGACTTTTAAAAATTTCGTTGAATTTGGTGGCATGAAGGTACTAAACTGTAACCTTTGTTTCCATGATTGATTAGGAAACAAAATAGAAGTGGATTATAGAATGAGTTAGAAATGTGGGAAGGAGACAGCAAGTGTAGGCAAGTGTTTTGAGATGTCTAACTGTGAAGGGGAGTGGAGTATGGGGAAGAGGGGAAGTGAGGGTCTGCTTTGTATTGATGGAAGAACTAGAAGTATGAAATAGAAAAACCTTGACATTCATTGATGAGATAGCACTTGACTGAGTCTGTAGTAGTACGCACTACAGAAGCTAACAGCTTGGAAGAGACCTAATACTTTAGCAATGTTTGCATTACTCTCAGACAGTCTTCAAAAAAACCTCTAAGACACTAAATTATTTTTGTTGTTTTATTTTCATTCATCTTTTTAAAAGTCCTTTTGGAATCATCACCAATCTAATCACCATTACTACCCTGCTCAATTCTTAGCACAGCAAGAATACTGCTTATTTGGCTTTTAGCCTCTGTTGCATTCTGATACTGTAACAGTGGTCACAACCTTTTTGGCACCAGGGACCAGTGCTCCTATGAGAATCTAAAGCCTGATGATCTGAGGTGGAGCTGAGGCCGTGATGCTAGCGCTGGGGAGCAACTGCAAATGCAGTACAGATGCAGCTTCACTTGCTTGCCCGCAACTCACCTGCTGTGCGGCCCAGTTCCTAACAGGCCACTGACTGGTATCAGTCCGTAGCCTGGGGGTTGGGGACCCCTGCTATAAATCATTTTTTCCCCTAAAGAATATAAAAAATGTTCTTAAGGCTCCTTATTTATTATTCACTAGACCCGTTTTTATGCAATTTATGTGGGGGAAAATCAAACCTTAGAGTGCCTGGCTTTTGAAAGTGAAATGACCTGGTCCTTAATTACCAACAATTTTACTTATCTGTGCTGCAGAAGTGCCTGGGTAGGTTTTATTTTCTCCCAAGGTCTTTGCTTTTTTCAGACCTTAGGAAATCACACTTTCATTGCAGAAAAGCCATTCCCAGTAAAAAGGTTTGGGCTCTCATTAACACCTGGGGAGCCTCACTTCCACCCGGCTGCATTTGTAGCCTGCTGTCTCCTCCATTCTCTGCTTCCCTGACCCCTGAGTGCAGAGACCAGTGCAGGACAACCTGAGCCTGTGTTCTGTATTTCTGAGTCAGAGCCAGGGCCCAGGCCCATGGGGACTCATATGGCACCAGGAAGATCACAGTTCTCGTGTCTGGGGAGTTGCCAAGGCTTCCTCTGGGCCCTGCTTTCCCGCTGACGCCCTTGTCACTGCTGCTGCTGCTGCTGCTGTTCTGCAGCAGGCTTAACAATGCTTGTGTTTTTGCCCCTTTTTTCTCGTGTCTCAAAAGGCTCTGGTATTATCGAAGTGTAATTTTGCACCCCGGGTTAAAATGATCACTAAGTGTTTCTGATTGCCTAATTTATTTCTGAGGGGCACAAATCTATCTAAAAGCAATGTAATAGTTGTGTTTATTTTAACTCTGTGAAGTAGAAGTCCTATCATTGCCAAATTATTATAATTCTAAAGCTTGCTCCATCATGTCATGTCCATGTGAATGAATATGGGACTGATAGAATGTTAAATCTTTATTGATTGTCTCAAGACAGTATTTGTCCAGAGTGTACTTTATTTCTATTTTGTTTTGCTTCTCTGGTTGTAAAAAGAGCTCTTATTCATTGCCCCAAATTTGGAAAGTTATAAAAAGTACAAAGAAGAAAACAAAAATTAATTTTACTATCCAGAAATCTGTTGACATATTACGTATTTCTTTTCTGTATTTTTCATTAAACATAAGTACCTTTCACTTAAAATAATTGGGATTATAATGTACCTATAGTTTCATTATTTTGCTCTTTTACCTTAGTGTTATATAATATGTTCTTTTTTTCCATGTCGTTAAAAATTACATTTTCGCATGCAGTATTCATTGCTTGGCTGGACTGTCATCTGGTATATTCTGTTGCAGTGGGAAGAGGAGAGGAACTTTGGTGCATCCCTGTTACTCCTGGGCCTAAAGCAAAAGAACCCAGTAGGGTGGAGTTCCCAGTTGTATGGCTGTGCACTTCTAGGTAAGCTAAGTGATCCTTCCAAATACCATTCTTCATAGGTAGAATCAATGCATTCTTCTACTTCATCATAGAATTATCATTTGATTTAAATTTTCTAGTGAAATTCCTATACAGTTTTCATTTTTAGGCTCAAAAAAATAGACTTTGATAGCCTTACATTTCCAACATAAGAGAATAAGAGGGTTCTAAAACCTGTCACTGTTGGCAAGGTGAGAACTGGTGCTGGTGGCCATGGATTATATTTAGTGGTAATCAGTGTGAGAAAGGGATAGAGAAAGGAAAGTTCTGGCCCTCTTTTGGGAGAACCAGCCAGTAGTCTTTCTCAGTATTAACAAAGATCTTTCTCTTTAGACCTAAAGTTCAGGAATTAAGAAATTAAGAGTTAGGGTTGAAGTCCTGTCTTTGGTATTGTTTTCAGGTGAGGGAAGAGAAACTCAGAGCACAACTAGTAGCACTTTGGGAAAGCAGAGGGTGACTCATTGGTACACTGTGATTGTGCCAGGCAAGAGAGAGACGGCAGCTTTACTTTAGTGACCCGACTGCATTGAAATCTGACAGGTCAGGAAGACGAAGGCCTCAAGGAATGGCCCCAGAACCTGGGCTGTGCAGAATCTGGGCAGATAACTTTCAACATTAAAGGTGCCTTGTTTTACAGAAATTTATTAAAAGCATATTATTTCATTACTTTTTCATCCTCTCTCTTAAGTGATAGGCATTTGGGAAAGCACCTTCTCTTGATTATATGTTGCTTCTGCTTACCTTCATTTTCTGAAACTCATCAAAGTTATAGCAGTTTGGCTGCTTTTAAGGTTGATCTTCACCAACAAGATGGAGTGTGGCATTCTCAGATGCTGATTCTGACATAAACTGACTCAGGAATTTCAGAGTTTATCAGACCGGCTATCAGATATCAGAAAGAATTTACCACTTTTTTTTACAAAAATCATTTTCCTCTTTTTTGCCATCTACTTTTCCTATTGATTTTCATGTTTTTGCCTTCAGATTAGCATTTAAGACTATTATACTGCAGGAATTATTCATGAAGTTGTCAGGGCTAAGACAATGTACTTTGCTATTGTTGTTTCTGAGTGGAGGCCCGTTGCTTTGGGACTGGCAGCCATCAGATCAGAAGCTCTTTGCTCTCATTGTGTCATGCGCTGTGCAGCTTCACTCAACCCAGATGGAAGCAGCTTCCCAGAATGTGACTGCAGTCTAGCCCCAAGCATCTTAAAGCTCTAAAATTAGCTGTCACCTGATAAGCTTTGTCTATTTATGTCCTCCTACAGCTTTCCCAAATCCTTTCCAGGAAAGATAAGTGAAGGTAGATTTAAGACCTAGCAGCTCAAGGTGACTTTGGTCATTAGTGCAGAGAGGGCTTCTGTTCCACAGAAGTGCAGAGACAACCCAGCCTCTCTCTCTACCGAAGACTGTGTTATCTGATATTCATATCCTGAGCTCCAGTGATGATGGTTTGAGGTAGCAAGAGAAGCATTCATGGCCTGAGATCCAAAGGGATGATGAAAACTTTATTTAAGTGTTGATGAAGTTCAAATAAAGGAACGGAGCAAAATGAGAATTTTTTTCATAAGGACAATCGAAAAATGTCAAATGTTTCCTGGCAGGGAATGTTGCAGATATTGACAAGATTTTCACTGTAGGGAAGTTACAGAATTTCTTTTTCCGAGGAAGATTTTGTTCTTAAAACAAAAATATATTTCAGTTTCTTGACTCATAAGAGTAGCTCCACTTAGAGTCAGATATCAACCTCTCTAAATTTCCTCAGCCCTGTGATTCAGACATTCCCATGATAACCTCCATCAGCCCAAATGAAAAAGAAGAAATACAGATTCATAAAATTTTATATTCAAAAACATATACAGTGGAATTTACCACATTCTGCATCATCTATCTGAAATATCACCAGGTTGCTGGATAGGGTGAGGCTCTTGGTACAGATTTGAAATTTTCTTTGTCTCTAGAGCTGCCAGGTGAATGTTCTCTTGTTCCTTCAAGTCTTCAGTCTCAGACATGGTGGAAGGCTTGGCTGAGCTTTCTTTATTATTTCTTTTGGCTACAGGGAAGGTGGAATTGCAGCAAGGACTGCGCGCTGTGTACCATAACATGCCCCTGCTGTGGCAACCAGGCTACCTTGACAGAGCCCTTCAAGTGATGGAGAAGGTAGCCTCCTCCCCAGAAGATGGAAAGCTGTGTAAAGAAGCGGTATGTTCCTTGGCCCTTACTCACTGGGATTGAGCCACCTCCTGGTCCTCATAAGTCAAGCTTTGAATTTGTTTTCATTGCCTTACCCCTCCCCCTACTTTCTTTATTTCTGTAGAATCATGTATTTATCCAGTTGAAAAGTGAAAATCCACAGTCTCAATGTTCCTGACAAAAAGCTCTAGAAAATAAGATTAATATTGATTTTATACCTCACCATCTAGTAGGAAAACTACTCCCCTCCCCTGAAATTCAAATTGAGTTCAATAAAATACTGCCTACTCCACTGCCCCCTCCCCAATAAAATCTTTGTGGCAGCTCAGGAGAGATTAAGATTTCGTTTAAAATTTTTGGCCGTTCTGTACCTTTGTAGTCCTGGGAGACTACATGGCAATTTTTTCCCCCATAAAATCCCTCAAGAAATGAACCTGGAGACTAGAGATGGCACAGTCTTCCTTTCCTTCCATTAAAGCACTCCGTGGTGAATGCATGGTGCTGAGGCGACCTAAATCAGATGTTCCTTTCAGAGTTCTAAGGAGGTCACTCTGCCTGGACTAGGAAGCTGTTCTGCCACCAAAGCTCATCTCTCCTAGTCATCTAGGACTCTTGACACTGTGACGTTCCTAGACTTAGCTCAGGCTATAGGAAACGTAGCATCTTAGAGCCCAAAGGGAGCCACATTGTCCACTTCTGTCCAAGCAGCTTGTGTAGTCAGAGTGTGACCTAGAAGGACTTTGGTTGTTTTATGACCAGGGTGCAAAAGTTAACTTTGAGCTGCTTATTTGTTTTGTCTTGACCCTGATCACTAGGACTCACCCCTTGGCTTTCATTTCAGTCATGAGATGGACAAGTCTGGTGCTGGCTCCTCATACTAATGTCTAGTGAATCATTATGTTTTTTGCCAGGTGTTTATACCAAACAAAGCAAACACATTTCTAAATATATTTTCAGTTAACAGTGCTATAGTCAGTGCTAGTGATTTAAAACACAAAATTATACATAAATTCTTTGCCGAGGATATATTCTTTCCAATCTGAGCTATTTTTGCATTCCTTGTGTTTTGACTTAATAGGAATGTGATTCAGATGTCAGCAAGAATGGGATATGTGTCAGCTTTGGGTATAATGTATTAGTGGCATTAAAAGGCTTTGGAGTGTTTTTTGGATTTTTGTTCTGATATGACATGGATGGAATTAATCGATGTCCAAGCAGGAGTTAATGCTGGCCTTGAGATGGTTTCTGTCCTATTTCTGATGGTTAGGCCCTCTGTGGGCCAAGGGAAGTGTGCCCCAAAGTGAAGTGGTGAGGGGGAGGGGTCAAAACAAAAAGAAACTCTCTCTTTTATAATTTACTTACTTTCTTAGTCATAGACATCACCTCGTTAAAATGAATTTAACGTATGCCTCCCTTCCTGGCCTTTGCCAGCAGTTTATGTGGATTGCGCCGATCCCTAATTTACAGATAACCTGTGAGCTAAAATCTTTCTCAGAAGGAGGCCCTCACCTGGATTCAGCAGCTGCACTGTGCATTCACTATGGCCCTTTGTCGATTGTGGTCTGCGCTGGTTTTTCTTTCCCTTTCTCCCACTTCCAAGCTGATTGAGGAAGAAAGACATGGAAGGGGAGTGGGTTCTTTCCCATCCATTGAGCATAATTCTTATATTCCTGCCTAGTTGATTAAAAGTGAAATGAAATGCCATTGTGCTGATTCATATACAAATAATTCTGAGCTTGCTCATCTGTACCATTTGTTTTGTACTAAGTTTTCCGTGCCTATGACAGGGTGTTTTTAATGTAAAACCATATAACCATGTTTACATCCTATAATTTTGTAAGAGAACGCTTTTCACCATTTTTTAGATCCCAGTTTTTTCTTCCTTTCCCTTCTCCAGCTTCTCTTCACTGTGTGCTCTCAGGGCCACTGGCTGATTAGTCCCCTGCCTCTCTTTCTGCTCCACAGCTTGATGTGCTGGACAGAGCACTGAAGACTCTGACTGCTCCGGCCCATGGGTCTCCAGAGGAACAGCCCCAAGAAGGGGAAGACAGCCAGCGGTCAGAACTGGTGGAGCAGTTGGACGTGGAGGAAACTGAACAGTCCAAGCTTCCCCAATACCTGGAACGATTTAAGGTGAGAAACAGCAGAATTGAGTCCCTCTCAGCTGCTAAACATGCCTCTCTGTCATGCCATGGCGATGGACAGGCAATCCTTTCATGCATCAATGTCACACACAGAGGCATTAAAAACTGACATCAAAAATTACATTTTTATTGCTTCACACGGGAAGTGGCCTTAAAAGAAACAAATGGAATTTTTATGCTCCTTTTTGTACTTGAGCTAATGGGTCACAGTGTTGTTCCCTAAGGCAGCATGTCATTACCCCCTCATCCCTGTCATGTGCCTGATGGATGGGTAATAGCTTGCTTCCTCATAGCAATCACCTGACTCCAACCCCGGGTGGAAATCTGGTCATTTCTTCGTATTGCACTAAACATGCTTGATAATCCAGAAACGCAGGTAGAAATTGCAAAGCCACATTTAGGTATAGAGGTAAGATTCAGGCATCTTCCTTTGCTCATCTCTGGCGGCTTTGTGTTGTGCACTATGGCCCTGAGAAATGCTCTCTTGTACTACATGGAAGATGTAAACAAGTTTCCACTGCTGCTTTTCAGAGCAGCCCTTGGTAGCTTTCAACTGTACATCCCAAAATGCTCCGTGATCAGTCAGGGAAGAAGAGCCTTGTTCAAAGTTTAAACCCTTGACCTCTTTCTTGCTTTGTTCCTCATCTATTTTGTGGAAAAATAAAACAAAACAAAACAAAAACCATGCTGCCTGAAGGAGAATTTTTCTTATGAAGCAGAAAGTGTTTTCATCTATGCCAGCTGACCTATTATATCACTTTGGAACAGAGAGATGTAAATTTTGCCAGATTATTACATTTAAATCTTTTCAGTAATTATATTGAACCAGCTATGGGAAACCTATTTCCCTATGTTTTAATTTAAGGAGGATTCTATTGTACTTTTAGCAGCTGTTTCTCTCAGTATTTCTGTAAGGTCATCGGTCAACTTCCTTCTTTAATAATTTGAAAACTGTGAAAAGTTAATTGATGTTCCCAAGGTACACAGAGAATTAGCAGTAGAGCTAGGTTAAGAATTTACATACCTGTTCTTTCCTCTTAACTTTGCCTAATCTTGCAGACTTAGAAAGGCTAAAACACAAAAAAATTGACTTAGCCCCAAAGATTATCATTTACCTATTCATATTGGCCAAGTCTGTCATACTACTCTTAAAAATTACCTCTCTCTTATTTCTTATATATTTAATCTCAGGGAATAGAAATCTGTGCCTGCATTAAATTCTCAGCCCTCTTCCACAAATGCAGGTTTTTGAAAATCAAAAAAAAAAACAAAAAAAAGACGAGACAAATATTTATTGACTGCAACCTATGTGTCAGGCACCACTGCATTTCATTTATCCTCACCATAACTCTGGGTGGTAGATACTGCTCGTCCCATGTTACATGACACCAAGGCTAAGAGAAACCAGCCCACAGACTTTGGATTTGAACAAAAGTTTTCTGACTTGAGTCCTTAAAAGTTTTCTGAGTTGAGTCCTTATTCTGATGTCCCAAGTTGTCTCCTTGGCTTCAAATCACATGGAATTAATTTTCATTTTACATTTCCTTTTCTTTCCATTGCCTGATTTTTATTAGTCTCAGGTAATTTGTTTGGGGCCCATCACATTAGACCTCCGGCTGCTCTTTAAAGCCCATGGACCTGCCTACCTTCTTCCTACCTCCTTTTACCCCTTTCCTCCCTCACCCCCTCCCCAATCGGACAGGCCTTGTCAGCTATGCCAGTGAATTGCATTTGTTTGTGGAACATGGGGATGTGTGGTATAAGCTATAGCTGGGGCCATAAGTGGCTCTCTCTGATGATCTACATCTTGAAGCACTTAAGTAGATTAGTGTTTTTAGTGCTTTACTTCTCCAGAAATACAATACAGAACACACCAAGCTGCCATTTCAGATGGAGCTGTAAGCAGTCAGTATGCAAGGCTGACCTTCAGTGAGCACAGCAGGTGGAAGCTTAGAATAGTGCAAGCACTCATGGGAGCTGTTTAGCATGCCATTAGTAAGAAATCCTTGAAATGATTTCCATCTGTTGAAAGGAACACACGTTAGGCAAACATTTATCTCAGTTATTCTGAAGGAAAAGATATGGATGGACTTCCTCCAATTTGTCAGCTGCCTCTGCCATTCCGTTTGCATCTTAGAGTTCTTTGTTCTTGGAGTTTGCTGCTTGGTTTGGTGCAGGTCAAAGTGGAAATGTAGATTTGTTATACTTGTGCCGTCTTTGTGGTTTAAAACAAACTACAGAAGGAATCACAGCATATGGAGTTCCGTTTACTGTTTGTGAGTAAAGGCAGATAAATCACATGTAGTGCATCTTAGAAAAATTGTTGGGCTAAAAAAAAAAAAGGAACAAAAGCTAACAGGGTCCGGATGACAGGTTTCCAACAAAATGCAAGCAGAATGTGCAGAGATGTTGTGACTTAATCTCTTTTCCTTTTTGTATTCTTCTCCCACCTGTACTCTCCCCCTTTTCCCCCTTTTTTCCTTTCTTCTCAACAGGCCTTACATTCTAAACTTCAGGCTCTGGGCAAGGTTGAGTCAGGAAGCCTTTTGACTCTGACCACCCAGCTCATCAAAGAACAACTTCCCACCTGTGAAACAGAGGACATCGCTGCCTATGAGCAGAAGCTGCAGCGGTGGCATCTGGAGCGGGTACAGTTGATTCAGAGGGAACAGGAGCAGAAGGAGAGGGCAAAGCGGGAGCATCAGGCTCGGAAAGCAGCAAAGGCTTCTGCCTGACAGGGCACCAGCCCCGCCATAAGGACGTCACTAGACCCCGTCATGAGAATCATCGTAACTGGGATGGCAGCCTCAGCTTCCTACATCTGTTTTCTCCTTTTCTTAAAGCAGGCAGGCTACCTGTGGTATAAAAGCCATGACGCTCTACATATTAAGGCACTGTGACTGCCTATCCAGACTGCCTAGCCGTAGTTCCAAGGGCTGTGGAACTGTGAAAGTGGCTAATAGTCAGACTGAAGCCACCAGCTGAATACCTTAAATGGGGCTCTTGAGGCTTATGGAATTCCTGGGGGACAGAGGTCAATCTTGAATATTGAAACTTCCTGATGCCTCGCGATGGTGGCGGGAGAGGCCATGGTTGAAGTATCAGGTCTCGAGCACAGGTTTTTGAATGGTCTTTCTCTTCCCAGCCGAGGCAGATTGCACATCCTGAGACCTTGTCCCTCTTCTCTCTAGTATAAGCCCTCGGCCTGAGCTGGATGTGGGGTACCCACACATCCCCACTTTCTTCTTCCTTTGTGTCTCACCGTGCCAGACCTGAATTGGGAAAAGTTCAGTACAGGATCGAACGCAAGACCTGCTGGCTTTAAAATTTTGAGAACCTATAGTGGTATTTTAAGAATGTAAGGGCTTTCGAGGACAAAGCTAGCCCTAGTTCTAAAGCCTCCTTGACTGAAAGTTTCTCCATCATGTTGCGGTAACTTTTTTTTCCAAAAAGTATTGTCTCAGCTCTTTCATCAAGTAGGTAAATGAGCCTCTTGTGCATGCACACGCACACACGTACAACTTGTGAACACACATTTCCATCAGAGAAGTTGGAGAAAGTAAGAGATGGGATGTAATACTTGAGAGGCAGACAATTCCTTCCTGAAGTTTCTCTGTGAATGGGGTTGGGGCAGCTCTTGTTTGCTATGTAATTTTGCCTTTAAGTACAGTGGTGTACTTTTATTCATGATTGTGCTTTTTTATCAAGAACCTATGGAAATAAATGTTCTGGCATTATTCAGGTATATTCTTTATCTTTTGGAAGGGAAA